GCCCTGACGGCCACTGGAGAGCCCGCCGGGCCTCAGCCTTCCTGATCAGCATGGACAGGCTCAGGGGGGAGGGAGCCAGGGCCGATCCTGTAGGCAACCCTGCCTGGCCACACTGGGGGCCTCCTGCACCCCTGCCTCGCCCTGGCCTGGGGAAACTGAGGCAGGCCACGCAGGACACTACGAAACAAATTCTTTTACTGTGAAAATACCCAGGCACTCCGAGGCCTGGCGGGAGGCTGCCTACCTCCCGCCCTCAGCTGTGCCACCCCTCAGGACTAGCGCCAGTCTCAGGGCCAGCCTCGTCCTGTCCCACAACGTCCCTTGGTTGTCACTTGGAGCTCAGGAGTGGCCGTCTCTGCTGCTGCAGCAGCTCCTCCAGGTGCTCGGCCCGCCTCACCGCAGCCTGGGACACACGCCGAGGTCAAAGAGGGGCGGGCAGGGTCCCCCCGCCCCCCACAGGGCTGACCACAGGGCACCTCATGCTGTTTCCGGAGGCTGCTCAGGGCTTCCTCCTTCTTGGTGAGGGCCGCCTTCACCCTGGCGTAGCACACAGAGGGTTCCGGAGCAGCTCTCGGGGTCCCAACCCTGCTGACCTCAACTCTGTGGCCAGCCCCAGGCCAGTGCTGCAGGGCCCACCTCTAAAGTCGCAGTCACAGGGGGTTCCTGAGCAGTGGCCCTGACACGCCCGCGAGGCTCATGCCCCCACCCAAGGCCTGCCGCTCACCCACGCGGGCAGGTGACACAGGAAGAGCCGGGAAGCCTGGCGGGCCCGCTGCTCACTTGTGGCATCAGCACTCCTAGAGGCCTACACTCCCGGACAAGCTGGTGCTGCCCACTCCAGGTACCCCGAGGGAGTACCAGGCGGAACCCGGCCCAGGGCCAGACAGGGAAACCATGCCTGCCCCAGCCAACTCCCCTGCCTTGGCCCATGGGGTCCTGCCCTCCCCCAGCTCCCCCACCTGCAGCGGCAGCCCACCTGCGGTGTACCTCCTCCAGCTCCAGCCCCTGGCGGGCCTGCAGCCGGGGGGGTCGGCCTGGGCCCCCCGGGCCTCATCCTCGGAGGCTGCCAGGCGGTCAGCAAACTCCTGGCGGATGGCCTGGGCCAGGCTGCTCCGCTCGCTGGACAGCTTCTCGTTCACCTGCGTGGGCGGGAGGCATGAGCAGGCTCGTGGCCGGGTGCGGACTCTGCATCCTTCCGGCTCAGGGCTCGCCAGGGCTCCCACCCCTCGCTGGCCCACTGCCCGCACGTCTCCACACCCGCGCACACACTGCCCCTGCAGCTCACCGCCCGCAGGTCCTCCAGCTCCCTCTCCTTCTGCCGCACCAGGCCCTGCAGCCGCACGTGCTCCCCCTCGGCCTCCCCGAGCCGGCCCCTCAGCTCTGCGCACCGCTCCTGCAGCCTCCGCTCCGACTGCTCCAGCTCCAAGAGCTCCGTCTCGTACTTGTCCCGGATGCGCTTGATGCTGGAGGGCGGGGCAGGCTCAGCGGACCTGGCCACACTGGGCCCTGCCCCGGCCCAGGCCCGGCGGGGAGCCCTCACCCACCGGCTCTCGGCAGCACGCTCGCTCTCCTCCTTGGCCAGGGCCATGTCGGCCTCCAGCCGGTGGATGACCAGCTCGATCTCCTGGTCCCGGCCTCTCCGGATCTCCTCCCTCAGCTCCCGTTCCCGCTTCAGCAGCCGGGCTTCCTGGAGGGACCGCAGCTGGCTCGGAACAGCCCGGGCTGATGGAGCTGGCTGAGGGGCTGGGAGGCTGGGGGTGAGGCCTCCGTGGGCCCCTGCAGGACTCTGCGCTCTGAACCCCAGGGGACACAGGGACTTAACAAGGACAAAGGAGCCTGGCCTGCCCTAAGGGCTGGGGGGCCGGGACCGTCCTCAGGACCCAGGTGGGCACGAGGCCGTCAGCACAGCCTGGAGGCCTGAGGACCAGACACGTCTGCCACCAGAGGGCCAGGAGCGAGGAGGGGACTCGCCCTGCGGCCGAGCGGGAGCCTGGGCACCCTGGGGGGTGAGAGGCACTGAGGTGGCTCTGTGAGTCTGACGTGCCAAGCCCCTGCTTGCAGTTCGGTTCTGGGGTCACCTCCAGGGTATGAGGGTCTCGTGTGCCTGGAGGGGGGTCACTATTAATGGCTGTGGGAACAGGGCAGGCAGCCCCCCGGCACCAGAGGTACCTACACGGACCCTGGCTTGTGTCAGCTCAGGACTCAGGACCGTGGCCTGAGTGCCTCTCCACGGGGCGAGGGTGCCCAGCCCAGTGGGAGTCCAGGGGGTTGAGGAGGGGCTGACTGCCCTGGGCCGCTCATGGCCCCGTCTGATGTCAGGCACTAACTGAAGACCAGGTAGGGCAGCGGAGGGACGTGGGCGCCCTCTGGTCATGTGGGACCTGCCGGGCTCCCTGTCCTCCCCCAGCCCACAGAGCATCCGGCACAGTTCGGCAGGTCCGGCCCAGGCCTGAGCCCCGCAGGACGGCCACCTCCTCCTTGGTGCGCCGGGCTTCCCACGCCTGCCTCTCCGACTCCAGTTGCTCCTCCAGGGCCTTCAGCTCCGTCTGTGGGGACACGGCCCAAGAGCTGGTCTGTGGGCACATGGCCCCCGGGGACAGCAAGCGACACCCTCAGTCTGCGGGACCCAGGCTTGGCACAGGGCGGGCCTGGTCGGGGCAGGACCTGGTGCCTCTGTTCCTGCTCCTCCTTTCCCTTCTGGAACTCGGCCCTCAGGGCTCGGGTCAGTGCTGAGCTGTTCTCCTCCAGCTGCCGCCTCCACTCCTCCAGCTCTGCCCGCTGCCTATAGGCGGGTGGGGTCAGTGGCGGCATGGAGGGGTCGCTGTGCCCCTCCCCAGCCCGGCGCACCTGGCCGCCTGCTGGCCCAGCTGCTCGCGCTCGGCCGCCACCTCGCTGCATAGCCGCCGCCGCTGCTGCTCCAGGACTCGCTGCTCCTGCTCCAGGTGCTGCGCGAACCTGTGGGCGGCGGGGCAGGCAGCTAGTAGACGGGGTGGGCGGACCCAGGACCGTCCGCCTGTCAGCAGGCCGCCACGGCCGCGTGTGCCTGCACGAGGCAGTCTGCGCCCTGGCTCCCTCCACCCTTATGCTGTCTCGCTGTGCCCGGTGCTGTGGCACGAGGACCCCCCTGGCCGAATCCCACGGGTTTCTGTCCAAGGCCTCTGTCCCTTGGGGTAGGCGCTGTGGCAGGGAAGGGGCAGCGGTGGAGGGCAGACCACACCCAGGGAGTGAGGACAGCAGGGCACGGCCTGGTCAGACCCCAGGCACCCAGTGTGAGGGCCTCAGACTGCCTGTGGTCCCCGGTCGGCGGCAGAGGGGCCTCGAGGCCACCTGTCCGAGGGGCAGCATTTGCATTCACAAACCCAGGTCTCAGTGACTCAGGCAGAGGCCTGTGCAGCCTCAAGCCCAGCCTCAGGGCCCGCTGCCCTGCACAGAGGCCACGAGGGCCAGTGGCCCGGCTCCCTAGCCCCCGAGCCCACCCTCCCCACCTCCGAGAACACGCCAGGGCCCAGCAGGCCAGGGTCGTCCCTGCCCACAATACCCGAGCCGGGCACACACCGCTGCTGGGCGCGCTCGCGCTCCTGCTGGCCTAGCGCCTCCTTCTCGCGCTCCATCTGCTCGCGCAGCTGCTCGGCCTGGTGCAGGCAGCGCTGGGCGGCGCGTGCATCCGCCCGCAGCAGCTCCTCCTCGTGCGCACTCCGGAGCCGCTGCAACTCCTGCTTGTGCCTGGCGATGAGCTTCTGGATCTCCGGCTCCAGGCCTGCGGGCCGGCGCTGCGCTCAGGGACCTGGGCCGCCCCTGGTGCCCCGTCAGCCCCTGGTGTGGTGTCCAAGCCCAGAGGCAAGTGTCCTGGCAGGAGCGCTGGCCGCAGAGCCGCACACCCCCACATCCTGGAGGGCCGCAGTCCTCAGACGCCCATGCCCGCCAGCCTGTGAGCCCAGCCCTGCCCGACTCCCGCTCCTCCCTGCTGTTCCTGCTTCCCAGGGTGGGGCCTAGGTGTTCCCGGCCACCTGAGCTCCAAGCCCCTCCCCGAGTGTGAGACACCGACCCCTCTTGAGCTGAGGCCACCGCGACCTCCCTCCTGTCTGCACGGGTCGGCAGAGGCTGAACGAGGCCAGAGCTGTCTGCCTCCTCCCAGGGAGGCCTGGCCTCACCCACAGCCTCGGAGTCCCCCCTCCGAGCCCACTCTCCTGCAGCTGTCGCCTCCTGACCTCTGACTGTGACCTCCTTGATCTTCCTGGTCTTCTCACTGATCCACCTCTCCCTGCGCACCTTCTCCGAGGCGCTCATCTGCTCCTTGAGCTTCTTCATCTCCTGTGAAGGGGTACACGGGGTCAGGGCCCTCCAGCCCTTCGCCCCAACATGGGCCTCAGGGTGCCACAGGGGAGCTTGTCGGTGCCACTGGGACACCCTCGCGACGCCCGCCTGCCCCGGCTGAGCCCGCCAGGTCTGGGTCTGCAGCGGCCACGAAGGCTCACCAGCTCATGCTGCTCCTGCATCCGGGCCGCCTGCTCCCTGCACCGCTGGTCCCTCCGCTTCAGCTCCGCCACCAGCGCTTCACACTTGTCACTCAGGAGCTTCTTATCATCAATCAGCTGTGACCAGTGGAGCCGAGGGTGAGGCCACCATGCTGGGGCCCCCGACTGCAAGGGGACCGCCCCTCCGGCATCCAAGAGCAGGCAGTGCTGTGCCTGGGCCCAGGGCAGTGTGCACACGTGGGCTGCAGTCCCACCCAGCCCTGGCCCTGGGGGCTGAGGGACAGCACAGACCTGTAGTAACCTGGGATTATCCTAGGATAAGGGTCACTGTAGTTCCATAGCCTGGCCCTGGGGGACTTGCCTCCATCTGCCTGGGCTGTCTATGAAGCCCTCAGAACCATGCCAGCCTCTCCTTGGACAGGGCAGACCCGAGCCTGGGCACGTGGAATGACAGCTTGCCCTTCCTCGGGGCCCAGACTGTGGGGACACGTTTAAGAGAGAGAGTCTGAGGTGTGGGGACATGTGCTGAGCAAACACCACATGCTCTTTTGGGGTTTGGCAGAACCTTGTAACTTGTCTTTCCCTGCCCTTGGCTGCAGACAGAGCAAGGGTAGAAATTACTAGGGGCGTTCCAACAGACACACCTAACAGCTAGTTCTCTGCATTAGAAAGGAAGATGAGATTTACTCTAGATGGGATTACCACCAGGGGATACACCTTGCCCCGGGTATGACTAATCTCTTATAGATTTGTTAATGGCTTCTTATTGTCTGTAACCTGGCAACCAATCCATGAAGTATCATGAAACACACATGTGTAATGTCTTCTTGTACTATAAATAAAGACGTCCAGTTAAACAAGATAAAGAACCAACTCCTGAGAACTTGTTCATTGCTATGTGTGCCAAATTGACTGCTAACTCAATGAACACTTGTGACCAGGATCTCATTCCTGCAAAAACAAAAAAATGTTAACTATGCTATTTGCTTTGTTCAACTGTCTGTAGACTGGATTTTTACATGTATGACCTACACGTTTAATTATATTTTAGTTAATCTATCTCGTAATAGCTTATACTGCCTTAATTGCATAGCACCAATGCTGCTTTCTAAGAAAATAATGTTAACTAATTTTATACTATGTTACTTAATTGTTATAGTAGTCACCTAATGCCTGTGTGTATCCCTTGGTGCTGACCTCCCTCCTAGCAACTCAGGCCATGTTGGCTTTAAAACAAAAAAGGGGGAAATGTGGGGACATGTGCTGAGCAAACACCACATGCTCTTTTGGGGTTTGGCAGAACCTTGTAACTTGTCTTTCCCTGACCTTGGCTGCAGACAGAGCAAGGGTGGAAATTACTAGGGGCGTTCCAACAGACACATCTGATGGACTTCAAGAAACATCTTGACCCCAAATAGTAAAATCCAATCCCTGCTCTGCATCTGAAAGGTTCTTTAGCCTACTCTGGGTGTGGTGGCTCACTCCTTATGGAGAAGTTCTTTAGCTCCTTCCCCATACCTAACAGCTAGTTCTCTGCATTAGAAAGGAAGATGAGATTTACTCTAGATGGGATTACTGCCAAGGGATACACCTTGCCTTGGGTGTGACTAATCTCTTATAGATTTGTTAATGGCTTCTTATTGTCTGTAACCTAGCAACCAATCCATGAAGTATCATGAAACACACATGTGTAATGTCTTCTTGTACTATAAATAAAGACGTCCAGTTTGTCGGGGCGGCACAATTTGCTTGGCCTACCTAGGCTCAGGCTGCCTGTGTCCGTTTCCACTCTATCTTTTTGTCTCATCTTTTCTGCTTCTTCCATAATAGCGCTAAGCCTGGGGGCGGACGCCGACACCAGACCAGAGGCCCCCAGGACAGGGCCCAACAGGTGCGGCTGAGCCAAGGACAGGCCGGAAGCTTCTGCGGCTCTCGCTCGGGGGCTCTGGCTGCCTCAGCGGGCCAGGCTGATGGCCCAGAGCTGTACAGCGAAGGCGTGGAGCCCACGTCCAGGCAGAACCGCTAGCCCTCCAGTGGCCATGCCAGTGTGCTCTGCCCACTGCCCGCCTGCGGCCTGCCAGACCGTGGCCGGCACTCATCCAACACAGAACGAGCTCGGCAAGGGAGGCCCTGGCTCCAAAGTCCCCGTGAGAGGCTGGCCCCATGGGCTCCCCGTCCGCGGCCGCCCCACGGTGCCACCTGGTCAATGAAGGACAGGTGCCGCTGGACGGTGGCCTCGTGGTACTCCTTCTCCCGCTGCAGCTGCCGGCCCAGCTCCCTCTCTGCCTCCTGCACCCGCTGGGTGTTGAGGTCTCGCTGCTGCGCCTGCAGTGTGGACCCAAGGGTGCACTGGAACCGGGCCCCGGTGAAACCGCAGGCCAGGCATGGGGACGGGGGCAGGATGGCGGCGGCCCAGGGTGAGGGCGCGTTACCAGGGCTCTCTGCAGCAGCACCATTGCCTGCTTTTCCTCCTCCACCTCCAGCTGCAGCCGCAGCACGGGCGCGCTCACCTCAGACGCCGACTCCAGCCCCCCCCGCCCCGCCTCCAGCCCCTGTGAGCACGGCCGAGTGTCAGGTAGGCAAAAGCCTGCCTGGCGGGTGACCGGGAGGTGGCCAGGGAGGTGATGTGACAGCCGCACCTTCCAGTCCCTCTGGTGGGGGCCATGGCATCCCCTCCCCAATCTGCCACTGCTCATAAGGAAAACAGGGATGCAGCCCAGAGGGCAGGTGGCAGTCCCACGGCAGGGCCCTTCTCCATCATGGGCACAGGACACCGGGGGGCAGCAGCCTCAGGGACTGAGACTGGTACCAAGTGACGTCCACTCTGACCATCCTGCCCTGTGACAGGGACATTCTCATTTGGGATGGGAAAGTGCCGGCCCAGGGGCCCCAGGCCCAGGCGGCCAGGACCACCCAAGGCCAGAGCTTGGGGAGGCTCAAGGTGCCCATCGGAGGATGGCCCGGCATGGACGAGCGGTCTCTGGCCCCCACCCTGACCATCCAGGAGCATGGGGGCCAAGCATGAGGGACGACCACCTCCGGCTGCAGGGCTGGCCGGTCCCGCTCCGACTTCTCCATCTCATCCAGGAAGCTCACGATGCTCTGCAGCCTGGCCTCGGAGAGCAGCACCCCTTTCTCAGGGGGACTGGTGGGCACGCTCAGCTTCCTGGCCCTCCCCAGGCTATCGGCCTTCAGGGGGCTGGCGTTGTCCTCCTACAGAGCAGAGGCTGGCGTGGGTCTGTTTGCAGCTCGGGGACTTGGGGTCGCCAGGGCAGGGGCCACATTGGTAGGAAAGTGCAGGGGCTAGGGCCTGGCTGGTGGGGGGCCTCTCAGGGCGCCCACCCTCAGGGACGGGCCCATCAGGTCACGGTCAGGGTCCCACCTAGACCAAGGGCCCCAGAGGCCTCCCTGGCCCAGCGGCCCCTGCCCTCGGGGACTGAGCACCTCAGCACCTCATCAGGCCCAGCGTGTCTGTCCTTGCGGCTCCCCCAGGGCAAGGGCTGCAGCTCCGGCTCCCCCTCCAGCAGTGCCAGCGTGTCGAGCAGCTCGTCCAGGGCCACCCTGGACCTGGCCCTGCTCCTCGAGGGGCCTCTCGTCCCCAGCACCTCGCAGGCCACACCCTGGGAGGGGACCTCCTACAGCAGATGGACGGGGAGAAGCCAGCTGGGCTGTGAGGCCTTCCCTTCCGCCGCTGCCCCCTGCGGCCGCGTGGGCCAGCAGCAGACAGGAGCTCCCGCCTGGACCGGCCAGGCGCTCGCCCCAGCGGTCTCGGCTGCAGCCTAACCGGGGACTCTGGCAGACAAGGACACAGAGGCCCCCAGGGCCACCCTCTGTGAAAACCCAACCAGAACCCA